GTCGCAAGCTGTGTTTGTCACCACAAACACGTACACCAAAAACTCAAGTCCGAGTAACCGAGTACCTTGTCAAGCTAAACACGGGAATCCAAACTGCTCGCGGAGCAGCTCTTCGGCTCCCGCCTTGCGCTTGAGCAGCGCTGTGGGCAGCTCGTGGTACATCCTCAGCTGCAAACAGATGCCCCCGGGGCTCGGCTGAGCTGGCCCTGGGGCATGATCGACTTTAAAGGCGACGTCTTCCATCCAACTCCTTCCTGACTTTATGTCACCGAACATCGTGTCGCCAGGCAACCCAACAATAGCTGACTGCAGGCTCGCAAATATAACCTCGCTCTGCCGGACTATTGCAGAAGAGGCGCGAATTGATGCACCTGCAAGAACCGTGCGGATACGTTGAAAACAAGATCGCAGAAAGCGGCTATTGAAACAGGGTTCCCTGACGATGTCTGCACCGTAGCTGCAAGCCAACGGAGGAACACCGTGTCACTGTGCAAAGTAAAGTTAAGACGACAGCTAACAAGTACTGCACTGTCTATGCCTATGCGACGGAATGAAGCTGCCTGGCGTGGTTCCATCGCTCCACGCAGTGACGTGCAACATCACGCCTGACGTGATCCAAGAAGCTTCGGACACCGCGGCAGGCCGCAAGCTCTGACTTATATGTATTTTCCCGTCCCTTCCAAGGACGCGTCGCCGGCCGGCCGATAAGCTCACAGGCGACATCCTGCCAACAAGCCAAGGTCCAAAGGAGACTTCATGAGAAACGGCTAAGGGGGCTGGTCCCGACCCTGCTGAAACAGCTCAGTCGCCAAGTTTCACAATACAGCTGGACACTGGCTGCTGTGCCTGCCAGGGTAGCCGTGCCTGCCGCCTCCGATCTAGCTGATCCTTTTGGAGTCGGCCATCGGTGACATCCTGACGCGACCATTTCAGACCGTACCACTAAATCCTTCCCACTAAACAACTGGCAGAGCAACTCCTTGATGCGAGGGTTGTAGTAGTCCTGATTCTTCCAAACCTCTTCTTCCGCATCAAAAATGAGATGCCTCCAATCCTCGGTAATTCTCTTCCAGGAAGAACGCACAGCAGCGTGCTGCATGCCCCTGCACGATGCCTTAATCTCCCCAACATCACTGAGGAAAGTCAGACGACTTTCCCCCTCTCCGGTAGCATGAAAATCCGCAGCTCATGCTGACATACATCCGGGCAGAGGACCCAGTAGCCGCCATATTGCCAATGGGTTTTTCCACACGAAAAGCTTCTCACAGCTCGAAGGAGGCAGGTAATCAGGAGACTGACTGTTGTTTCTCCACCTTCCTCCCTTCACAGTTTGCACGAGGGGATTTCCCTAGTGCCCTAGGTCCGATCCGGGTCATCAGCCCCCCACACTGCCCGCTTCAATTACCCAAAAAGCACACATGAGAGCGCAGACTGAGGACGCATCATCGTAGCGCCCAATGCACAGATCGAGTCCTGCTTACAGTGGCACAAGGCTTTGGGCGCTCGCCCAACATGACCTTCGAGATACTAGCGTCTGAAAGGAATGCAAGAATGAAGGCTTATGAAGATGACGTCGGAAAACTCATGTCGGGCTGTGGTCTCAATCGGTTCCTGCAAAGCGAAGTTGATGGCTCAGGGTTAATAACAACGTGTACGTGTGCGGACTCTTCCCACGACATGTAAAAGATCCAAAACATGCCAAGCTTGAAAGACAACTTCGGGCAGAAACTGGTAAGGCTTGCTCGGTGCCCGGGGCCTGAGATTTCTTCTTCCGATCTTCACATCTGGGTATAGCCTATTATAGCCTTTTCGAGAACAAAACATGGCAAAGTTGAAGCCCAAACTGGGGAAAAAGGAATTGTAAGCCGGCATCAGCCCAAAAAAAATAAACTTAATCAGCGGCCACAGAAGGAGGCAGCCGCGGCGTCGCCGCGGATCAAGCACGGATCATTGGTCGAGGGGCCAAAACCAAAAGTCACGGATCGAAGAGATGATCTTCAAAAATCGACGAGGTCAAAGGATGGTGAAAGCGAGCCTTCCATGGGAAGCTCCAAGCTGGAAGTGAAACCAAGCAAGCGAGGATGAGTATGTTCATCCATAGTTCATCCCCTCACGTGTTAAAAGATCCCGCTTCACAGACGGTACGGGCTTCATGCCGTTTTGTGCAACTGCACAATTATCTCCACCAGGGCATCTGCCGGGTTTGTCATTGCGCAAACAATACACATATCCTCAGACCAGGGACGGAAGACGGCCGCTTTCGTCGTCTTGTGGGTGCCGCACATTCCCTGCACCCCTTGTCAAAGACCCATCGATGCCGTTGAGGAATGACCGCATGGTGGAACCGAGAGACGTCCGACTCATTCGAAGGTCGAGGTTGGTGAGCCAGCCGCTTGCACATGCATGCGCATCATCGGAATCATTAGCATCATTGGGTCACTCGAATTCGTGACCAAAGTCACCGGCTTGCCTTCTTTCAGGTCCTCCACAATGCGAGTCACCAGTATGTTTGTCCTTGGCCATTTGAACGACTGGTCACACTATCATTACAGCCAATCACCAAGCCCAAGCCTCGCCATGCGTTGACCTCAATGGACAATAATTTTCGGTTGAACCGGTCGCCCCTGTGCAACCGAAAGAGGCAAATGGAAGTCGCTTTGCGAAGCAACCATCAAAAGTCAAGCAGGACGGCTGCCCATGCGTCCGTGGTACAGCTGTGCGTTTGCCCATACATCCCCACCTTGTTGATCTACCACTCTCTTCTCAGCGTTGATAGTGTTGCCACCTCGTAAGTCCATTCCGGTCTGAAGACTCGAACCGTTTGTGAATCATGAACCTCCCAACCAAACGAGGCTCTCAGTTCAACACTAAATCCAAGTCTGGTTTCACCCCTGAGCAGGCCGATGGCACCTCATCCACCCCTGCCACGGGCTCATAGCAGGGTTCGTCCATGCAAAATGCAATGACGATACACAACTGGGGAAGGTGGACCGGGCGAAAGCTTCAGGGAGTCCAACGGCACGTGGTCGGCAAAACGCATCTCGCTACCATCCGTGGTCTTCTGGGGGTGGCTCCAGTGAGACCCACACCTCCTCTCCTTCCGTTACCAGGCCTGAGCTCGACAGCACCTCTTTTTCGGATAAGCTTCGGGAGATGGAGCCGGCCACAGAAGCTCCCACAAACAAGTGCACAGAATGTCAAACCGGATGAGCCGACGACAGGCGACGTTGTCCTTGAAGAAAAAACTGACGCGCTTCACGGAGGTTAACATGGCAACCGAGGCGGAAGACGTCCGGATCCTCAACGTTCGACTTCGTCCTTGACACGGACGGAGGGCGCAGCCAAGGACCCGGTGCTCAAGACCCGAGGCGCTAAGAGGAAGTTCACCTTCGAGCCGGGCACCCGGGACCAAGTCTGCTGTTTTGACGGCTCTTCCAGTTTGGAAGCTTACCCGACCGAGGACGTCTATATGGAAGCAAGCGGCTGCGATGGTGATGCAGCTTACCAACGACGAGATCGGCACCGTTCGCTCCTCCCTCCAGAACACGAAGTAAACCAAGCTGTTTGTGGAGGGGACCATTGAGGTTTATTGCCTGCACGGTAGCGAGTTGAAACATGATGCAGGTGGAGTACAGCAGCAGGCTCGCAAGTCCGGCCCGCTGCCCCATCCTCCATCTTTTCCCAATCCTGACCGCCAGTTGCGGCAATATGGCAAGGCCATTTTGGCAGACGTGTCCTGACATAGCCTTGCAGATCGCAAGCAACTAGCAAGCTGTAATTTGAAAACAGCGTCCGGGTCACAGGCTTTTTTTCAAAGATGCCAAACCTGAAACTAGGACCTATAAGCTTTGTTCAGAGCCCAAGCATGCCCAGCTTGAGACCGACATCCGAGCCAAAACTTGGCTGAAATTGAAACCCGTCTTCGGTCTCAAGGCTTGTTCGGAACCAACAGAAGAGCTCCAAACTTGAATCCCACATTCCTGCGAAAGGTTTGTTCCGTTCAGAGCCAAGACGTGTTCAAACTTGGAGCGTTGGGGAGAGCCAAAACATGCCAAATGTGAAACCCGGTTTCGGGCCAAAGGTTTGTTCGAATATTGAAATCCATCTTCGGGGACGGCGTTGTTGAAAGCTGTAGAAGTGCCCAAAGTTGCAACGCAGATTCCCGACATGAACCCTTTGAGAGTCCGAACAGGCCAAGTTGGAAACCCCCGTTCGGCGTTCGGGCCAGAACCTGTTCGGCGTTCAGATTTGTTGGCTCAGAGAAAGCTAAGAGCTACAATGCCTTTGACTTGAATGAAGGCCAGATTCGGGCCAAAGGCTTGCTCAAAGCCCAAACATGCAAAACTTGGAAGGAGTCTTTTCGAGCCGAAGGTTTGCTTAAAGCTTAAAGCCGCTATTAAAGCCATAACATGCCATAAACTTGCAACCCAGATCCGGGAGCCCTGAAGCGAAACAAGGCAGTGGTTTTGAGACTCTACGAGTAGCGTCTGAGAAATAGATTTTGAGTGACGCTTTGACACACAGTGCTTCGAAGCCTCGGGCTTCAAAGAAGCAAGCTTTCTGAATCACCCCTCATGGTCCTCCAACGATGGCAAGCTGCTGATCAACGACCACTACCTCAATATTTTCTCTCGTCTCGTGTCACAGCTCTCACCAATGACTCCATACACAAGCACACTCACCCACACACTCACCGAGAGAGCACTCTTTGCTCTGTCATCTGCGGCGCCTTCTCGTGGTGTGTCCACAGCAGGTTGCTGTCAAATCTGCTCCTGGCAGAACCAACACACTTTCACGACTTGACCATGCCTTGGCCAGACATGGCTGATGCCTCCCACGGTGCAACTTCATAGGCTGGAAATAGCACACTTGCCAACACGAGGTGGCGTACATAAAGCAAAGTATGCGCAGCCTGTGGCGCATGACGAATATGTTCTTGTGCTGGAGCTGGTTCTCTGCCTCACCACCAGTGAGCTTTCTTCTCTCGCATGGTTCGCATGGTCGCTTTACAAAGGCCGGCTAGAAGTTGAAGATCTCATGCCGACAGGCACAAACACATTCGGCAGTTCAGCCAAGTCCCCGCGACACTTCCGAAATGCGAAAGTAGAAAACTGGCTATGTTGATGGGGTCTACGACCAGTTCTCACTAGAACCCCTACTCACTTTGTAGATGGTAAGGCGAACGCATATGCTGAAGCGTTGGCAATGACCTTCCCCGTCTCCTGGTACCTCAAGCTTGCTTCTCTGGCTGGTGTAGGAATCTGTGATTTTTGTCATGCTTGGGCCCCCGACAGCAACACGTAGACCCGAACTCCGCGATCTGCTGCAGCTTTCAACAGTGTTTCGACCTGTGATTTGGAAGATCCAACTGCAGATGCAAATCCTGTTCCCAGTCAATCAAGGACGATCGCCATTGATACTGCTATACTGTTATATTGCATCCTCATCAACTCAAAGACACAAAGCAACGACCCCGGTGCGAGCCTTCGAATCAGGAACGCCTGGCAGCGCATCACCTGGGCATCGTGAGACTGTCTTGAAGAAGCCGAGTTACCTTGTGGGGGTGTTTGTTTGAGAAGCACACCATCCCGAACCAATTCAATGTGCGGACTCAAGAAGAAGCTGAGGATGAATATCTCGTGCTTGGCAAGGAGAATGGCCTGCGAGATCAAAGGGCTCATGAGCCTTCTGGGCGTTTCGAACAGCAAGCAGCCTTACAGCTTTGAGCCTCTGCAACAGCACGGAAGATCGCACGCCCATTGAGCAGGTGTCGGCACAGGCTCCGGCGGAGCACATGACGGTCGCCGGTCTGGGCGGTTCATGGTGCACAAAAAAATTTCACTCAAACACACGGGGTCTGCACCCTTCTCTCCTGCAAACTCTGGAAACCCCAGGAGGCGCGACAACCGAACAGCTGGCAGCTGCTCAACTCGCCCTGGGCCTTCGGTGCACTGGGGAGCCGTATCGGTGCGAAAGATCCATAGCGCCTAGGTTGAGCCGTGCTCAGGCAGCGTGAAGATCCGAATCCAGTTGCGTGTAAACGAAACCAGCAGCAAGGCCCGAACTGCTCTCTGGTTCGCGTGGACAGCTGTGCCGTCACCTCACATGTCCGCATGTCTTCGGTAGCTTGAAACCGCATCTGTCTCGGTCAGTGCTCAGACGACGGCGGTGATGGCATTGCACCAGCCTTGAGCGCTGCTATGCCTTCGGCAAACAATTCAGACCCTGATACCACGTAATACACCTGTAATACACCTATTTATTATTCGTGGCGACCCGCACAGAACAAGTTGAGTGTCGCAGTTGGTCTTTGGTTTGCTAAAATGCTTGCATGAACCAGCCGACCAAAAGGTTGCTGCTGGAAGACAACCTATGGGATTGAACTACACCGAACCAAGTCTTAGACTGGAAGAGCTCCGAGACGTCACGAAAGCAAAAGGCCTGCGTGGCCCATCCCCAAAGGACAGCTCGAGGACCCACGACGCCCCTTTCACAAGTACGTGGTCCTGCATGTGCCCGTGTCAGGAGTTCGGGTCACTACGTTATGGCTGTCAAGTGGCAGTTGAGGATGCTGCGATGAAGAGGTATAGGGCATAGGGACACAAGAATACACCAGTGGTAGATCCCGAATGGTGAGAATGATAGCAGTCCTAGCTGAAGACACACACACACACAGGAACCATCAAGAACCATTCTACGAGCATTTCTTGGGTTTTTTCGAGTGTACTGAGGCGGCACGATTGGCACCACAGGAACACGAATCCCCACCACAAAATGTGCGGTGCTACGGTTTCTAAAGCAGGAGCAGGATCTCGGGAGGCGGAGGATGGGACCGTGGCAGGAAACGCACGCAACACTCGCCGAGAGCTGGCAGCCCGCAGCAGCCTCATGTCCCGAAGCAGTACGTTTCGTCTGCGGGCTGGCAGCCCGCAGCGGCTTGATGCCTTGAAGGCTTCTCTATAGCGGTTCTTTTTCTGTCTTTTTCTAAGTGGTTGTTTGTATATAGAAAACTAGAGCGTATAGAGTTTGGAAACTTGATAGTTCAACTTCCCTGAAGTTCAGGCATGTCAATATGGGGTGCGGGCTGGCAGC